AAGCTCAGCAGTCTAACCCACATGGAGAACTTGAAAAGACTTATGGTTCCTCCTTCAATAGGGATGAAAATCATGTAAAGGCTGGGATGATTTGTTCATGGATGCTACAGTGGCAAATTCTAATTCCAGGCAATGATTTATGAATAAGTCTCTTTTCTCCCTGTCTTTGACACCTCCTTTTTCACTTGGCCTGCATAAACAATGCCAATCATGGTCTTGCTACTGAATATAACTTTAAAACGGTGTTCCTTAGACTTAGAGTATTAAATAAAACTGCAGATTGAACTATATTTACAAAGCAACTTTTATCTAGTAGAGCTTTCTCTTTCTCCAGACGTTGCCCCAATGAATCATTACCGGGGCATGGCAGTGGTCTAGGCAGCCAAACTATCTGTTGATCTGAATGTTTTATTTGAGCTGGTCCTGAGACACACAGATGATAGTGTGACTTCCTGAGATGTGTAATTGGCTTATGGAATTCACTGCCACTAGATCTAATGATGTTTAGATGTCTGTAAAAAAAAAAAAAAATGACAAGAAATTTAACAGAAGCTCTCAGTATAAGCTACACATTTGTCCCAATGTATTTTAAAACAATGTAAGGAACAGTTCACCTTGTAGCAGTGAACTCAATAAATCATTTGTGCATTCATCCTTTTCATTGGACAATCCTCAGTGGAGTGAAGGAGAGAGGTAGAAGAAAACATGGATAACTTGGATTGCTGCTTTCAGTTCAATAGAGGTAGCTATGGAAGAGCAACTTCCTATCTTCCTTATGGAGGAGAACTAGGTGAGATAAAAAACTGTAGCCCAGCTTTGACAGCAGCCTCCACAGTAGACACACTATGTGGCCAGCTTGTTAGAAGAAAAGTCCATGGTTATAGGAAAGGAAAGCTGGAGGCAGAGATATTGCGTGTGAGTGAAATTTCCTGGGTTTGCTTCTCAGAACAGCTCTCTTGCCTGCCTTTGTCTGTAATTTCAAAAGAAGTTTGGCAGAGAAATAATTTTAATTTATTTATTTATTTTGGATGACATTTCACTGTGGTGCGTTGTAGGTATTTTTCCAAGAGCTAATTCCACTCTCTTCAGTAATGAATTACAACAACAAAGAAACCAAACAGCCCCACGAAGTGGATGTCAATCCCATCCCTCAACCTGCTAGAATAAAGATGACCTTTGGGAATGTTACAGCTTCATCAAGACCAATTAGCAGGAGATGCAGCCAGTTGTGTCTAAGCATTAACTACTAGTCAGGATTGGCTTTTTTGGAGTGGCTAATGCTAGCACAGAACAAGGCACCGACCTAATTATTCTGTTGCAAGAGCAGAGGAAGCCTTGTGAATGTTTGCTTGGCAAGCTTGTCTCATTAAGGACAAATTTTCCAAACACAACAGCAAAAAAATTAATATGATAGATAACCTGTGGCCATGAGATTTCTTTTGCTGATGTGGGAAACTCAGTGATGCTACCCATATCAGGGGATGTCTTGGTTATTTTCCAGATATGTGATGACGTGAAAACAATATTATTTGTTTCCCAAGTTATCCGTGATCCCTTGGTTGGAAGGCACTTGTTAAAGATTCCTTTGTTAGAACATAATTAAACCAATGTCTTGCCACCAAGACAATTTGATACTTGAAAGAACAAATGATAGTAAAGTTCCTAGGATACAGTGTTCTTTCCTTGCCCTTCTTCTTCCAAATTTTAAGTTCTATTTTTTTTAAGAATGACATTAAATATTGCTGAGTGAAATCTTCAAAATGGAAGTACTATCATATTGATCTTGCTTTCTATAATTTAGAAATAACAAACAGGAAGCCACAACTGACATAACTAGTTGTATATGTAATAACCGTGGGAAAAGTCTGGTTTTGATTGCATGGAGTGGTATATTGTAGTAGACATACATGATCTAGAAGTGAAGAAGAATACAGTTTCCCTCTATCCAGTGGCTGTTTGTGTGAATAAACCCTAAATTTCTCAAAATCACAATTTCTGATTAAAGTTGAAAGATTAACTTGTAATTAGTATTAACAGAGGCTAGTAAAGATGTATAAGATTGAGCTAGAACAGAAAATTCTGGCTATTTCTAGTCATACTATGACTATTTCTAATCATACATACATAATAGAGTCACTACTTTCAGCTCCTTTTTATGTTTTTCATGTTTCAGAAATTCTTTTTGAAAAATCTTGTTTTATTCTGTTCTGACCGGTAGAAACTCACATTATTTTCATTCATACGTCTTGAGAAATGCACAAAATAAACAAGTTATTAAAGTGATTTCCCTTAGTAGAGATTTTCTTTTTAATTTCAAGTTAAAGGAATGCCTAGGCCCTAATGCAACCTTGGGCCATAGAAGCTCACAGGGTGACTTTGGGCCAATCATTTTTCTTTAGCCCAAAATCACTAAAGCTGTGGGGAAAAACAGGAGGAGGGGCCTACTGTATATATGCCACTTTGAACAAAAAGCTGGATAGAAATCAATCAACTAATCAAAGATATGTTCAACTTCAATAGCTATGCCAGAGCACAGAACTGAATTTCATATGAATAAATATATCCTTATTTTAGGATGGCCATATATGTGCTACACAAAAGAGGAAATGCATCAATATTCTAATTAGCAAGTTGGTTATGTGTGGGCTGAATGATATGTCTATTAGGTGGATTCACAGCTGGTTTGCAAAGTATACTTAAAAATGTTTGTCACATCCTCATCAAACTAGAGGGAGGTTTTAAATAAGATGCCACAGAGTTCAGTCCTGGACCAGATACTTTCTACCAGTTTTATTAATGACTTGAATGACAAGGTGGAGAAAATGCTTATTAAATTTGGCTATGACACATAATTGGATAGGATAATTAAAATCCTTGAAGAGATATGAAATTCAAATTGATCTTGATAGAACTGCAAAAATGGACCGAAAAAAACAGACCAAAATTTAATGGAAAAAAATGTGAAGTTTTTTAATCTAGGAAAAAGAAATCAATGCACAATAATAAGATCAAGAATAGATGGCTTGGCAACAGTCTATGTCCAAATGACCTTGAGATTTTAGATGATCATAACCTGAATGTGAGTCAGCAGAGTAATGTGTCTGTTAAGTAAATAAATAACTGACAACATTCTAGGCTGCATCAATACAAGTATAATCTATGAATCATGGGAAGCAATCACCCTATTCTATTCTGAATTAGTCAGACTCCACCTCATCTCCTCAGTCCAGTTTTGAGGACTGCACTTAAGAAGGATTCAAATTACAATGGGACCAAAGAAAGGCAAATGGAATGACTGGAGGATTAGAAACTTAACCCTAGGGGGAGAAATTGAAGAAATGAGAATGTTTAGCCTTGAGAAAACTAAGGGAATTCATGATAGCAGTCCTAAATGAAAAGAGTAGGCCACATCCTCTTTTCTGTAATCCCATTAAAAATTATTAAAGACCAATTCTAACTGACAGGACCGCTTGTGAATGTTCAATATTTTTGCATAAATATGGCCTAAAATGTGATCTGTTCTCCATGCGAGTCCTAAAAGAGAATCCAGTTAAACAATTGGGTCAAAACATTAATCTTGTTCATTTTTATATACTCTTATATACCTACTATAATGTGGAATGCTCTATACCACTACAGTTTATTCACTGAGGAAAATGATTTGTACATGATCTGCCTGATAGCTGACTGGTGGAATCCAAATGCTTTGGAAATAGCTTTGTAACCTTTTCCAGCCAAGTAAGCATCAAGGACTGTTTTTTGGAGGTCCTCAGAAATCTCTTTTGTTCATACCATGACACACTTCCACATATATAAATTAAATGAATGAATAAATAAAATACCTGTATTGTGAAGATCAGACTTTGATAATGAATGTCCAGAATTCTGTTCTTTAAATAAGGCAGGACCTCCCACACTCACACCTGATTATCATCCCATTGATTCTAATTTCCCATTCAAATGAACTGATAATCCTGGAAGTTTACATACAATAATTTTGCCACACACAAATATGTAGCTTTGGATAATTTTCCTCAATGAATGGAACAAGATGGCATTATCTCCCTACAAAAGTACATGTGCATTCATGCTCCCAACCAATATATCTCTAATATGACCACTAACATTTCTTATATATCTATCCACCTCTAATGTGATTGCAAGCATACATTTATTGACACTGGGCTATGAAAATGAGTTTCAGTTTCTAGTGAAAATTTTATAAAATTGTACAGTTTTTAAAAATATACAGTTGTTGAAGATATTTTTTAAAAGAAATATGTTCTAAATAGTGGATTTTTTAAAAAAAGAAAATGGCCAAGAAATGAAAGCATTTGCCAATTATACAGCTTGGCCATATTAGACTTACTATTTAAAAAGACTGATTCTTAATGTTATATTGATATTAGTATCTTTTTCTGTCACAGCATAGTAGAATGGTTGTCATATAACAAATGGAAGAGAGGAAATGCATACTAGAATTTGCTTCTGAATGGGCTCAGTAATTTAGGAGTTATCATTATAGGTAGGCTTTGACTTATGACCATAAATGGGACTAGAACTTCCATTGCTAAGTGATGTGGTGGTTAAATGAGTCACACTCAATTTTATAACTTTTTGCCATGGCCGTTAAGTGAATCACCAAGGTCATTAAGTGAATCACATGGTCGTTAAGCAAATCCAGCTTCCCCCATTGACTTTGCTTGTTGGAAGCCCCCTGGGAAGGTTGCAAATGGCAATCACGTGACCCTGGAATGCTGCAACTGTCATAAATACATGCTGGTTCCCAAGCATCCAAATTTTGATCACGTGACCACAGAGACAGTCATAAGTGTGAGGACCGGTCATAAGTTACTTTTTTCAATGCTGTTGTAACTTTGAATAGTTGTTAAATGAATGGATGTAAGTCGAGGATTATGTATTTGTTTAGTAAGGGGAACAATGCAAGATAAATGGCAGCAAGTCATAATAACTGATTATATTTTTGTTTTAATCACTAGGTGAAATTGGGTGGAGAAGCTCCTAATTCCAATGTCATTCACATACCTAATGGCACTGCTGAAAGCAGCAGCAGCTGCAGATGGAAAAGCTCCATGGGAAAGTATGGTACTGAATGCCACCTCTTGGACTTTGCCAAATCAGAGCGCCCACTTGTAATCAACTTTGGGTCAGCTACCTGACCTCCCTTCACAAACCAGCTGTCTGCCTTTGGCAAGCTGGTGGAAGAGTTCTCTAGTGTGGCTGACTTTCTGTTAGTCTACATTGATGAGGCTCACCCATCAGATGGCTGGGCTGCTCCTGGTATCTCATCTTCATTTGAAGTCAAGAAACATAGGAACCAAGAAGATAGATGTGCTGCTGCTCACCAGCTTCTAAAAAAGTTTTCTTTGCCACCACAGTGCCAGATAGTGGCTGACTGCATGGACAACAATGCCAATGTGGCCTATGGAGTCTCCTTTGAGCGTGTATGCATTGTACAAAGACAAAAAATTGCCTACCTGGGGGGAAAAGGCCCTTTTTTCTACAATCTTCAAGAGGTTCGACTTTGGCTGGAGCAAAACTTCAGGAAGAGATGAAATCCAAATTTACCAGATGAGAAGTCAAGAGGACTGCCCCTTTAAAATAATGCAAAAAGGATCCAAGTTGCATTCCTGTTTTGAATAGGATTTTTCTGCCTTTTGGGACAAAACAGGCCTAGTGAAAAGGTTAAATGGACAAACTGGTTATAAAACAACAATGAATTCCCAGTAGCTCTCCCAAAAAGGAGCTAAGAAAAGATTTTTCCTTTTATAGAATAAGACTGGTGAGATTTTTGTGCCATGAGGCGGTAGAAGCACCCAAAACCATTGTTTCCAGAAAGTTTATGGAGAATGATATATTGTCCCCTGAGATAAAAGTCTATCACTTTGTCCTTCAGAGTTTGTCCTGCTAAATTCCATCATAGCATGTTCAGAATCTGAAGCTTGCCAGTGTCATGAAATAAATATTTCAGTTTGTTGCAGAGAGGTACCATTTGGTAGATACTACAAATTTCAGCATCTACTACAAATTGGATAGCTAATTGCCTTCTTAATTGCTGAAAATAAGAACTGGTATTCACTCTGCTAAAACTTTTTTTTTTTGCAATATAGTACAGCTGCAATTCTGAAATCTTTTACTTTGATTCTAGCTCTTTCAGTGCTTCAAAGACAAAGAATTCTGTGAGAGCAGTTTATACCCTAACTCTGCATTGCATGATTAGGCTGAAATATCTCCTAGCAACAGTCATCATGGAAGTTGCATAGGCTGTTCTGAATCTTAGTTTATATCCCCCAAAATGAAATTCTTAATAATTTTGAAGCAGTGAAGGCTGTTGTGTATTGGACCAATTCAGACAATGTAGCTCAAATGGATTTCTACTGTTTATTGTCTATAAAAGAAATAATTTATGTTGAAAAACTTATCTAAATCAACTAACAGTTTCTTCTGCCTGCCCAAAACCCAAGTCTCAGAATATTTTGCTATGAAAGATCAGTATTAGACTTATTATGTTTGAGCCTGGATATATCCAGGACAGTTGTGCAATCAGATCTGTAATCTATTTCTCATATCCAATTGTTATAACTATTTTGTGAAAAGCATGCTTCAGCAAACATCAGTTATCGCAATAAAATTAGTTTGTGCTTTCTGCCAGCATAAACTAATTTTTGGAAACAAGCTCTTCAGGTGAAAAACATAACACTTGATGTATTTTCTTCCAACTTAAACTAGCCTTTAAGGTGCATCTCATGGCAATCTCATTTCTCATTTTTAATCTGTCACACCATCTGAAAAAAACAAGGATTTCAGAGGCTGGAATACCACTTGTTAGTCTTTATCCTTTGCTGATTCCACATGATGTTTTCAATTGGGTGGATCATTACAAGCAAAAAAAGTGGTTGTGATCTTGGAAGCAGCATGTTCTGGTACTTTTGTATTGGATCACATAAGGAAGAATCATGAGAACGTTATGATTACCTTGCTCTTACATTCTTTCTGCACTGAGGCAACCTCTGAGCAGTGTATTGTAAGATTATCTCTGTGTAAGAAAAAAAAATTGTGTGTAACACAACCTTTGGGGAACAGAGAGGGGGGAAAGATAGGGCAGAGAAAGCAAATTATATGCAAGAGCCAGGGAGTTGTGACAGGCCCTATATTAGCTCTTCAGACATTGGGAGAGATTCTGTTTGTGTGTGTGAGAGAGAGAGGGAGAGAGGGAGAGAGAGAGAGGGAGAGAGAGAGTGTATTCACAAATACCCAGGGTCATATCCAATAAAGAAACAAACTTGTTTTATGTTTGACCTGGATGAATAGGACGGAAACTATCAGGTTTACTTGCCTTTTTTTTTACAAAGTCAACAAAAGTACAGTTAAGATTAGGTGTTAGTGTATATTATAAGATTTAAACATTTTTTTTTTATTGAATTTGAAAACAATGCAACAGGTGTATTTTTCTGTGAGATTAAAGAAGAAAGAATGGAGAGGGGATGACATACCACTTTACTTTATTGGGATTGAAATTTCATTCATAAATTAATGTGGTTGGCTTGATGCAATTCTTTTCTCTTTGCCCTTCTACCATAAAAACCTGCAATTAGCTTTTAGCCATGTTAATTTAGCATGAAACAGATTTCAGTTTTAGGACTGATAAACTGCAGAGCGGTAGAAAGCCAATTCCTTTGTCCAGTTTCCATTTTTCAAAAAATAACTTCCCCCTAAAGTTTAATTTTGGCCTCATGGGTATTGTTCTTCTCCCTCTTTGCCTCTCTCCCTCCCCCCACCCATAAAAAGGGTGGCAAAAACAGAGGGATTTTTTAATGAAATAACTGGGATGTTTGAGTCTGGAAGAGGAAAATGAAGTGAAATGGTTTTGAGAGGAAGACTGGGCGGTATTTTCCTGGAAAGTCTTCTGTACAAAATGCACTGAAATAAGTACAGTGTGCAGAGTTGCCCTGTTAGCACAATGGACCCATTTGCCCATTTTCATTCAAAGTACATAAAGATTGTGAAAGAAAAGAGACGGGGTAAAAGTCCTTTTCTGACAACAAAACTCATGGGGGGTGGGGGGAAGAAAGCAATAAAAAGCAATTAAATTCCACAAAGGCTTACAATTCCTTTAAGTTTTCATTGCCTCCTTATAGAACCATTGGGTCAATCTGAATTGTTTTGATATTGGCCAATAATTCTCCTACTGCACAAGACATTTTTAGAATGTGTCTCTTCATCGAAGGGATACAAACTTGACAGTCAGGTGTGAATGCTATTTTTTCTATGTCCACCTTCTTTCTTTCCCTCTCTTTTACAGACATGCAGCACATGGGCACACAGTTATAGAGAAAGGATGTCAGAGGAGTTGAGGATGAATGTACTAAAAAGCTGGCAGATGGAGGATGAGGAGATGGCATACGCTGTTACAGTTTGAAAAATTAAAGGACTTGGTGAAGGTACAGAGGCAGACAGTTGCAGGGAATAAGTGCTTCTTTAATTTAGGGTGGGGATCATTGCTAAAGTATGAAACAAGCAATAATTAATATAAATGAAATGCTCATTTTTTCAAACAGTAACCTGTTGGCAGGGATGTGAAACATATTTCTTAACAAATGATTTCAGTGGCATTCTTTAAAAAATGATCTTCCAATGAACAGATTCCCCTAATATTTCTCTTAAATTGTTTTTGTGTCTCCCTACTTTACCCTTATAACTTATAATTATATTTATCAATTGAAGGCCTTATTTCTACTTATGTTCATTTAGTAGTTAGGCACACAGATTCTATGTGATTTACAGTTTGGGACTGCCATCTATTCTACTTAATATAGTATTCTGCCTCAGACAGCCTTTGTGAGTTAAGGGGATCCTGTTTATGGCTCAGTCCAGAACAATCATTGTGCTGATGAAGAGGTTTCCCCCTACTGTCTAATAATAATTAACTTTCAAACCAGAATGGCAATTTAGAGCTTGAACTGAGTTTATTTGTTAGCATTGTCAAAGGCTTTCACGGCCGGCATACGATGGCTGGTGTGGGTCTTCCGGGCTGTGTGGCCGTGTTCTTGAAGTTTTGTTTCCTA